AGCCCAGCTGGTGGCAAATGGAAATGAAATCAACTGTGACAGCTCATTAGTGATATATACACCCTCTGGTTGGACATCGGTCTAGTCCAGCTCCCAGGAAAGTATCTACATCATTTTTAGCACTGTAAGCTGAAAGTCACCAAGTAACTGTTAATACAGCAAGTACTCTTCTGACAGCAAGGGGACTGAGAGCCTTTCACATAGAAAAATTCCACTTGATTACCAAGCGGTGCTTGCTTGGTAAAATTGCTTTCACTTCCATTTAGGTTCATCAAATGAAGATGCTTCTTCAGAGAGTATGCTGGGGAATTCACTGCAAGCCTAACAGTCTCTCTGGAATATTTTCCTTGCAGACTAAGCCCAAAGTTTCCATTGCTTAATTTTAATGTATTCTGTTCCTGGTTCATCTCCTGATGCAGCACATAGAATTCAAAAGAACCTTAACAGTTTTTCAAAATTTATTTTATAACAAAACCTACAACTTTTCAAATATAAATCAGGTTGTGTTCTTCTAAATCCCCCCTTTTCCTGGAAAGGTTCCTATGTTTGTATACTCAGAAAAACCAAAATTATTTAGTGTGGTTTCATGTGCAGACAGTGATGGAGGGGAAGTGCAGAGTGAACAGTTTGGCCTTTGATTCATCTTTAAGTTTGCAAAGTCAGTGGCAGACTGTTTTGTTCCTCTCTGTGCCAGTGCAAAATCAAAGTAGTGTGATGGACTTGAATAACTCTGGCTCCAGCTTATCATTAACTTCAAGGGATTTACTCCACGCTTTAATCAGTTACTGAATACATAATCTGACCCAGGAAGAGTCATGAAGTGTAACTCAGTGCCTGATTTGGTCCTGAGCCAGTGCTGGTGGCAGAAGTACTTTCAAGAGTTTTGATAAAAGGTATTTCTTAGATAATGAACACTCCTACAGAAAGAAGCTTTATCAAAAGTGGAATGAGTATGGTCTACCAAACATTTGCTTTCAACTCCTTCTGATCCTCTGTGAAGTAGAAAATCTGATGAGGAGAGGAAGGGAGTTTTCCTCTTACGTGCCAGGCTACAGCATTTGGAAGCACTGGGTTTTGTGTCACCCCCGTGTTCTGCGGGTGGAGAAGGGGATGCTGGAAACATCCTCAGCTCACTGAGGGTCTTTGAGAAGGAGAGAGAAAATTACTCTTTTATTATAAGGTTTGCCAAATGATCTCTGAGAAAATGTGATATCATTCATATGCATTGCCAAGCTGGAGAGATGCCGCGCATCTTGGCAGGCATCTAGAGCTAACATATAATTCCTTTGGGTTGGTATGGGCTTTATCAGAAACAGCTCCATATGCACTATTTACATAACTGTGGTGGAGTGTGAGAATAAACACAGCTGTGGCATTGCCCTAAATATTTCAATTCAGTGGGGAATTAAGGGAACTTTATCACTGAACTGCAGATAAACAGAAGTCAGTAAGAGGTGGTCAGTTTAGCCAAGGAACAAATCAAAACTATAATGGCTAGACTGCTGGAAGCATTTAAGTGCCTTAGTCTTGGAGTTTACTAAGGTCACTGGTATTTTCTTCTTTTCAGAAAGTATGGAAATGCCATCAGTCAGCTGCTATACAGAAAGCATAATCCATTTGGACTGGTGAATCAAAGCAGCGTGGGCTGAAAGGCAGAAAAGGAAAGAGTTTATAGGGATGCAGCACTTTCAGCATCTGATTGCAGTCAGAGCCCATGGGTTTCCGGGAAGATTGGAAGTTTATTTTAGTATCTCCATCCCAGTTGACTGTGGAGACAGGAGTCCTGGGTTTTTGGTGGAAATCTGCAAGCTTGATTTCCTAAGGTTTTCTAGTCCAGATCTTATAGCAGTCGCCAGTAGTAGAATTCAGGCAGTTGAGAATTTAGACTTCGGGGTGTGTAAGTAAAAGTTGGCCTGTGTAGCAGCTTGCTGAGGAATGATGCCTGCAGATGTATTTCTGGGAGTGGAAAAGTGCTGTGGATAAATAATAATTTAAGAATAATTTTCAGCATGGTCAAAGCAGCATCCTGTATTGAACTAAGTTTTGAGAAGTGTCAGTAGGATTGTCCAGTCATCTTGTTACTCAGCTCATGGAACAAGGAAGACTTTCTGCAATTGTGGTGCATCAGCATCACACTTTGGTGACTTTGGACAAGCATTCCCAAGCTAGCTCCATTACAAGTCACTGAGGGATGAGTATTTTTGCAAGCATGGCTCAGTATGTGTGTATGCATATGTATACTAGAATTTAGACTTTGGTATCACATTTGAATATGTAGATATTAGAAAGAATATGCATTGTTTAGAACCCCTTATACAGAACTGTTGACAATTGTCTAAATGTTCATTATTTTAGGGGATAGAACTCTTGTAGAAATACTTAAATAGTCCCATCAAGGCAAATGCACTTTAATGAAGGCCACAGTACTAAAATACCTGCTTGTATGTTAATCCACTTGTTTGAAGGAAGAATTTACAAACTAGAGGTAAATAAGTTGCCATTTGCAAGCTCTTTCAGCTCTCAATAATTTATTTTTAAGTCAAAACCTGCTACAACTCTAACTTATAAAGAAATCACACAAGTTTTCTGCTGTTCCTTTGCAGCAGAAAAGCAGCACTTTCTTCTGAGCCTTCAGAGTCTGTGTTCAGCACTTTGTTTACTGCATGATGTGCAGCGAGTTTGTAGGTGGAAGTCCCCTGTAGAAACCACAGGCTTTGTAAAGAGCATTGTTTCACACAATCTGTGTGGTGTGTTAACATTTTTCAAATGCAGCACAGTACTCCTGTGTTGTCCAAATAATTTATGTTTTTAAAAGAAGTATTAAAATAGGAGACAGAGGACTGAAAATCCTGATTGCTGCTCCTGGCCCGTTCCCTGCCTTGTCTGGATTCTTCCACTTTTCCTTTTTTTTGTTGGTGAAATGAGGATGCTGTCACTGACCTCATTTGTGAAATACTGTAAGATCTCCTGCCAAAAACTGTTCTGTAAGTAATAAGCAACATTTCACTGATTACCACAATGTATTTTGAAAATCCAAGCCTGTCTAGCTTGTTTTTGGTGGTGGCTGCCTACAAGAACACACTCCAGCTGCAGTTCAGAGTCACAGTGGGACTCAGCAGTGGGAGAGCTGTGTTTGTGATGGAAAGACAGACTGGAGTAGGGAGGCTGTGCATTATTGTAATGATCTGTGGACGCAAATGGCTAAATCCTAACCATGAAGGAGATGGCTGTTTCTAGCAGTTCAGAAAAAATGGGAGTGTGATTTGGAACGTGCCTGTCTATAAATACAGTTTTCTAGTTCACAAGACTGCCATCATGTATCAAGGAATTTTACTTTGGTACTTGAAACTGAAAATTTGGTGCATCCTGGGGTGGCTAAATAAGAACATTAAATTTCAGATAGTGCTGAACTGCAGCAGCTTTACTGAGGAAACATGCATTACTGTTGGCTCAGTGCTTCCTGAAAAATCAAGCCACTTCTTAAGCTATCCAGTGATTTAAGACCCTGAACAGTTCAGCTGCTGAGTTTGGAAAATCATGACCTTTTCTATATTTAGAACAGTGTCTACGTGGAAACCTCCCCTTCTCAAAATGGACAAACATGAAACCAGGGATCCTTCCTCTCTGAGCCCCAGAGAGCTGTGCAGATCCAGTCACCCTCTGTTCTGGATTCTGCTCTGGCTTAACCAAATAATTAAAAACAATTAACTCTTAATTGTTAGTTAAGCTCCAGATTGCTGGATTTTGTAATTGCACAACAAATATTTGCAGTACAGTTCTGTTTTGAACTTCAACCTGAATAAATTCCACTGAACTAATTAATTTTCTGCTGCAGAAAGGAGTCATTGTGTGTCCCAGAGCCTGGGCAGGCATACACAGGACAGAAGTACATGCTTAGGCTCAGATCCCAGGTTGAATTTGGGAGGGTAACATTTGGGGCTGTCACTGTACTTTTATAATAAAAAAGCACAAATGTGACACAGAGTTGAGTGATGGGCAATGACCAGGGCTTTGTTTTGTAATTGCCACATAAAGATAAAACGGGCTATTACTTTGTGGGTTATTTACCAGATGTTCAAGTAAAATGGCCCACAAAGCTATAAAGAGCACACAAAGCCCCATTAATAACTAATAACTTCACTAAGAACAGAGCTGAAATAGCTGCAGCTGCCTGTCAAAGCACTTTTGTTGTTGTTGTTAGCAAAGGTGTTGGCACAGGTTCCATTACCACAATGAACAGGATTCATTTTCCTGAAAACTGTGTTCAGTTGTAATTTTCAAACCGCAGTGGAAACCACAGGATAGTCCAGTAGGAATGTTTTCTTTGAAACAGAACTCATTTCCTTCTACAGGGGTTTGAAAATCTGTGAAAGGTGCCTGCCAGCAGCAATCACATGATTGTTGTTAGCACTTTCTTGTAGCCACTGTTAGCAGGCTCTAAATGGAGCATTGAGGATGCTGGTAACTCCTGGAGATGGCCAGTTTTTCTGTTGTGCCAGGCCTGTGTTAATGTGTAGTGGTATCACTGAAACCACAGAGCAATCCTAGGAAAATCCCTCTGTTTGGGATGGGGATGATTTTCATTTATCTCTGCATGGATAAAGTAAACATACTGTAAAACTCTGGTTGTGCCATGATAACCAGCTAAGGAAAGCAGCAGCTTATCCCTGGCTTCTCCACAGTCACCATCCATGCAGTCTGTGGTTCTGGGCAGTGTCTGTGTTAGTGAATTTATATTCTAAACTCTATTGACATGCTGTATGTGAGGTTGCATCAGCACTGGCAAATCCCGTTCTCAGGGATGTTATCATAGTGCCAGTAGAGACCTGGCTTCAGTTAAGATGATCTTACTCTGTTCAGGTGTTTTAAAGGTAAGTTCTTAGTGCTAGGTCTCAGTATTAGTATCCAGTTTAACTCATTGCATTCACTAAATGAGGTAATAAATGTAGCTGCCTATTAGTATATGAATGAACATAATGTTTTTCCCCCCATTTTTCTAGAATTATTGAAGTTCATTCACCTGATGCCAAGCACACCGTGGTGCTCAGGAGTAAGGATTCAGCTACAGCCCAGGCCTGGTTCAATGCCATCCACTCCAGTGCCAATGAGCTCATCCCCAGGGTGATTGCAGAGGTCAGAGACCAGCTGGGTAAAACAGGGATTGCTGGAAGTCGAGAGATTAGGCATCTAGGCTGGCTTGCAGAAAAGGTAATGGAAACATTCTTATTTTCATTTCTAAGCTCTCTATCTCTTATTCTCTGTTCTTGAATTCAGCCTTGCCTGGAAGTAGAGAGACTAAATGAGATTCTGAAGTTTGATTTACCTTTCCTTGAAGACCTTTCTTTTCTTAACGTGCCAATTTTTGTGCTTTAAAAAAATCAAGCAGAAAACTGTTATGTCCCCAGAAGTCTTTGCTTCTACATGCCAATTAACAGAGACTTTCCTGGGAGATCAAAAAGTCTCAAATCAAGTTCAAGGATGGGACATGAGTCACAAATACTTACACCGGCCCTTGAGTTCACCTGCTGTTAAATTCCTATCATGTGTATGAGTTGTCACCTTTGACTCCCAGCTTGGGAAGTACTTACTTGCTCCATGGACCACCCCTCTGCTGTGCCTGGCCTCTGGAGCTGGGCATGATCTGGAGCTTCCCATAAAGGCTGGGAGATTGTTGAATTGTAAGCATGCATTTGAGCTGAGCATACTATCAGCCTGAGCTTGCAATTGTAGCTCTTGCCCATCTTTCAGAGTTTGAGTCTTAAAATGTTTCATGCCCAGAGAAAAGCTGCTGTTCTGTTCGAGAGTAGTTTGGGATCTCTTGACCTGTGGAGAGACAATCCATGAATGCACAGGGATGGTATCAGTATTAGATGATCTGATTTTAAATCAGTAGTCTCAGAATTCATTTTAGGCATTGATAACTGGTGAGTGTGGATTTGCTATGGTAGCAGTGTTAGAATTGTGCCTAGAAATAATTCCCATCCATCTGCTACCTGGACTGCCATTCAGAGCATCTCTGCCCCTCCAGCTGGGGGTATGGAAAGATGGTCACTGTGTGCTCACTGCCCTACCAACCTGTGCATCCTGCACAGATGTGCAAAACTGACTGTAACTGCCCTGAAAAAAAATACTGTAGGTTTGATCTCTTTTTGGGATTTTGTAGATGAAAATATGGAATCCACAGGCACAGGTGCTGTATTTCTATCTAGTGCCCTTTAAAAAGGCACACCATTAATTTTTAGCAAAACATGGGTCACTCTACACCACTTGCAGTGACACAAAGATTGCCAAGCCTTTCAGGCAGATTTTGTATCTTTTCCTGTCCCTCCCTCCAAGCTCACTGTGTGGGGAGAACCACAAAACTCTTTGGCTTAGTGCTGTAGAAAATGTAAAAGTTTGGGGGAATAATTTGGGATTAAAACACCAAAGGATTGGTAAGTAAATTTTAACAGTATTAAACTGTACAGCCATAGGATCTTTAATTTTGTTTTTCTTTTTGTATTTCTTACTTATAAAAAGCTGAACATAAGGGGCTTTTCCTGTTGCAAAATGCTTTCCTCTGAAAGGGTGACAGTTCTGTAGTAGGTCATAGAGATCCTGTAAGTATAATATCCACAGATCATCTTAAGTGGACACATGGCTCCTGGTTTATGAATTTCCTCTTCTTACACTTAATACACAATATCCCATTCAAACGCTTCTCTCTTTCTCCTTTTTTCTTTTCTTTTTTTTTTTTTTTTTCCCTCCTTCTTTTCTCTTTCCCCTTATGGGCTGAAATCTTATTTTGTATTACTCAATATGGACCATTTTGAGGTCTTTCTAAATTTAGTGGTAGAACTTGTTTTGCCTTTGTTAGGGTCATGCTTGGCTCTGTGTTCCAGTGTATTTATGGTGGCTGTTACCAAGAGTTAGCCTTGAGAGATTTGCAGTGACATTGTTACTGAAAAGGCAACTTGCTTTTTTCACTAAAAAACATCCAGAACTGTGCAGTAGTAACAGAGTGATGTCAAAAGTTCCCACCTTTCTCTCATGTTGGAGACCTGTTGAAAAGTAGAGAAAATCCCTACATGTGGCAAAATGTGATGTGAAATTCTCTTTATTCTTACTGGACTGTGGGCTGTACAGCTTGGATGAGAGAGATAACCTGCATATACTGTGTATATGCCAGCTGTTTGTGCATTGTTTCAGAGGAGGTGGTTAAGGCAGCTGAGGGATGTGCAGACCAGAGATGCTCCTTGTGCAAAAACTTGGGTTTGTTAGAGGGAAGAGGTTGAATCCTGCAGTGATTTGAGGAAGTCCCTGTGAATACCAGTGTGGTTCTTTGACTCTGCCTGGATGCCAGGTGCCCACCAAAGCTGCTGTATCACTCCCCCTCTTCAGCTGGACAGGAGAGAGAAAACAAAAGGCTTGTGACTTGAGATAAGGGTAGGGAAATATAATTCACCAAATACCATCATGGGCTAAACAGACTCAACTTGGGGAAAAATTAATTGAGTTTATTACCAAAAAACCAGAGTAAGGTAATGAGAAAATAAAACCAAATCTTAAAAAACGCTTCCCCCTGCCCCTCTCTTCTTCCCTTGTGGTTTTCTCTACCTTTCTCCCCTCCCTGTGGCACAAGTGGACCAGAATGGGGTTGTGTCAGTTCATCACATCTTGTCTCTGCTGCCCCTTCCTCCTCAGGGGAGGACTCCTCACTCTGCTCCCCTGTTCCAGGGTGGGGTCCCTCCCACAGGAGAGGACCCAGTCCTCCAGGAACTTCTCCAACAGGAGTCCTTCCCACGGGAGCAGTTCCTCACAAGCTGCTCCATGGGGGTCCCCGGTCCTGCCTGCTCCAGGGGGGGCTCCTCTCTCCACAGGGCCACCAGTCCAGCATGGGCTTCCCACTGGGTCACAAAAGCATCTTAGACTGTAACTTTGGAGACAGCTTTTATTATGTTACTTACATAGCAAATCCTTAAAGTGAATTCTCAGCAAAATGGGAAGACTGTGAGCTGAATTCCTCTGCTTGTTTGGGAAATGCAAAATGTAATCCCATGGAAATTTCACTGTAATTTGCTGTGATTACTCTGAGCTTCAATTAAGCTATTTCCTGGTTTGATATTTTTTATATGACTCTGCTCTAAACTTAGCTCTAAACTTCAACTTACATGACATTACAAAAATAGATTCATTAGGGGAGCCTCCCTCAGGTGGGTAACATTAAAATAAATAGTAGGTTATCTAAGATACTAAGCCATTGCATGCTAACAGGATTTTACCACCTTAACTGAACTTCCCTGTGAGGAAAGCACTAAAATTGTGGTTTTCAACCTGAAACTTCCGTTTTGCAATTCCACCTTCAGGTTGCTGGTGGGCAGTGAGGGTCTGTCTGCTGGTAAATAGAGAGCTCTGCATCACTTTAAGAAAGCAAATGTTCTCTGTGGCCTTCTTACAGGCAAGGAGAAAAACAGCCAGAAGCAATCATTAGAGATGCCATCTTCCCTCTGTTACTGAGGAAGTAGCCTTGTCCTGATCTTGGCCTATGAGGAAGGTTTCTAAAGCTGACCAAGGATTAGGGACTTGTATTAGTCACTAGCCTCCTTAAACTTCTCTGTAGCTAAGAGAAATACCAAGTGCTGGTTTGTGATGAGGTGTGTGCACTCCTCATCACTTCGTGTTTCCTGTATTTGTCTTTTCCCTTCAGCAAGACCTGTGCATTTAACAGCTGTGCAAAGCACGAGGGAATAGTTACATGTGGGTTTTAATCTTTCCAGGCCTTGTCTTTTTATAATGTTCCCTGTAAAGACACTTTGAGCAACCAAATAAAAAAAAGAAGTTAGTAATGTCATCTAAATTGAGGAGCTTTTCCAAATTTGTATTGTTTCTGCTCCTCCAGAAACACTTTCAATCCTTGTAAAAATGTCTTCCCCACCTTTCCTCCCCCCCCTCTTTTTAATACTTCTGCACATCCCATGACTTATAGAGGAGCTGAAACAGGCATGGTTGCTCTTCTCCTTACACTTACCCATCTACCACTGAGTTCCTTCATGAGGAGCAAATTCTGCTCTGAACTGAGGAGCTGAAACACTGAGGAAATGGTGATTTATTTTATTAGCCTGTAACATTTGCTGCAATAGAAAAAAAAATATTGTTGGCAAAAGCTTTATCTAAATTTTTTTCTTCTTCAATGCAAACACAAAAAGGTGTTCTGGCAAAAGGGGTTTTGTGAAGGTAGCTTTTGCCAATTCAGCAGTCAGCCACACAAGCAAAAGCATGACTGGCTTCAGGAGCAGCTGGAACTGCAGCCAGGCGCCAGCATCAAGCTGGGTCAGTTAAGAAAAAACCCAAAACTAAATAAAACCCTGAGCTGTGCATCTCTCTCTGTCCTCACTGTGCCAGTGGTGCTTTTCATGTAGGCTTGGAAGAGAGGAAAAGCACTTCTGCAGCCAGAGACTGTTCTCCTTTCTGGATGTCAAATGTCTTACAGGCAGTGGACTTCTTAAAATTATCTGAAAGCTCCTTTGAGAAACCTAAAAATAGGAATTCCTGCAAGTTGCCTTTTAGAATGTTAATTTTTGAAGCTGCAGAAAAAGTGACCTTATGGGCTTTTCTCACTAGATCTTAACCCCAGCACTTGGTTCCTGTTCATGTGGCTCTGCCTGTGCAGGGTGAGGGTGTTGCTGCTTCCCCAAATCTGGTTTGGGTTTCAGAGGGGAGAAAAGACCTGAGGGGAAATAACCAAAGCATGGTGAACCAGAGTTGTTTTTCAGCTCCTGACACTATCTCTGAAATGAAAAGTGTGTTAATATATTACAGGCTGTTCAGTCTCCTCAAACCTTAGATAACCATATCATTGTGTTAGTGCTGGAGTGCAAGGCATGTCACAGCAGAATGATCTTCAGTGTCGAGCTGTATATTGCAGTATTACATTTATCTCCCTGCTCTCACTCTAATTCACAAGAGCTAGCGATAACAGGAAAATTGTGAGACGTGCAAGCTGTCCAAACAAGATTTAGGCAGATGACATGAGTGTGTATTTGAGGTTATTTTTCTTCCCCAGTATCAAATGAAAATGTTACCATTTCCTTAGGAAGCGTGTTCACAGGTTAGCAAAACAAGTAGACAGCAACAGAGCCATATTGTTGTTCTCATCACAGACAAATGAGTTTTCAATGAAATGGAGATCTTTAGTTAATAAAAAAATTTATATGATTTCCAAATTGTAA